AGACACAGCAGTGACAGCAGAGGCTTATGGGAAGGATGTGGTACTGGTCTATTTGGAAAACTTGTGCTTGAGATGCCACACAGTGACAGCAAGAGATTGGAGAACAGGTTTTATCCTGAGCACCATGAACATAAAATATTGCTATCAGGCATGGACCTGACTTGGAGCAGATCTCCGCAGATATTAATGAAAGGATATGGGAGAAGTGATGGTGGAGACAGTTTGAGCTGAAAAGCACCTGGAAAGTGTTAACAAGACACAACTGGGATGAGGATAGCTGGCAAAATTAAGTATATTTTTCCTTGCTGCTATTGAAGAGAAACATTTGCAATATTCTCAGGAGTTTGAGAAACAGAAAGGGAAGTATTTGGCACAATAACATGTCTTCACTGGTGTTCGAGGCTCATGCTACCGGGATTCAGGAAAGATTCAGTCCATGGAAGCCAAGGGAATAGGAAATGTGGGTCTGTGCTGGTAACAATATGAAGTATTATATTTGCTCTAAGATGCATGCAATGTTCCTCCACCAGCTCCTTTCAGGACAGCAGAGTTCCTTTCTTTTTTGTCCTTTTTGCCTCTGGATCTCCTTATGCACTTAAGTACCGTGTCAAATTCATCAGGGTAACTCAGTTAAGATTCAGGTCTTGGTAAAATGTCCTGGGAGTGCCACAGTCTGCTGCAACTGCTGAAGAAAATCTCCAAAGAACTGTTTTGGAACAAGCTCTTGGCCACAATAGCAATTTGAAGCCAAATCTGTCCCTGCAGTCAGAGTCACACTTCAGGGAAGATGGCGGAGTTATACCCAATTTGCCATCCAGTGCTAGGTCTCATTTGGTAGCACCGAGAGGTGCCGTTTTTGCAGCTGCTTGGAACCGCACTCACACACCTCTGTCCCAGGAGTTACAGACCCAGAAGCCTGGCCTTTCAGTTACAGTCCACAGAGGGCACTGTCCAGCTTTGAACATTGTCATGCAAAAACCTATGGCCAAGAACCAATCTTCATCTCTCATTACTCCACTCAGCCCACACCAGGTATGATGCACCTCCAGAGTATCTGGTTCTGATGCTCACCTGCTACAACTGGGAGGAAATTTGAGCCAGAATGCTACATCCTCACTTCTTAGCACCTGCAGGCTCCCCAGGAGCTGTACTTTTGTTAAGTAAGACCCAAGACACTGCTCTCCAATTTTGCAAAGTGACAAGCAATTGACAAGTCTGAATTGATCTTCCTTGTCTCTCTCTGGCTTTTAGCTCTCTGTTTCGTTAGGCTCAGCTGCCTAATCACTTACTGGATGCAATGGGGCAACTATTCAGTTCTTTGCAGTGCAAGATCATACTGATTACCATAGCCTACCCGTCTCACTGCCAGTTGGCACCCTCTTTTCATCGTTTTCATCAGTGGCAAACTGTAGGATTCAGGTTTTGTACATCCTTGTGACAAGGCAGGTCCCCAAATTTCCATGCAGGTTCCCAAGTTAGGATTGAAAATATCTGAACAATGGGCTTTTATCTGCTGTATGCAAGCATTGGGTTTCCCCTGCTCGGTGTATAAAAACCTCTCTAGTGACAGAGCTTCATTTAAGATGTTCAGCTCTGCAGCCAGATCTCAGAATTTATCCTCGCACGAGAAACCCAGGGCAGGGAGGAACAAATCACACCTTCGGCCTTCTATTTTGGGGGACCAGCAGACAGAGCACAGCCTGCAGCTCTCCTGTTACACCCTCCTTTGTACTGCGTGGAGAAGAGAGGGATGGTAATACTAGGAGAGATGAATGGTAGCTATGAAGTTCTTTATCCAGGCTGTAGTATTGACCTGTATCTGCTTCATAAAGGTGAAAAAACATGGATAACTGTGTGGGTTGAGCAGGAACATCTTCCTGCTGCCAGCTGGCAAACAGCTTGGGGATTACAGCATGAGGATTAATAGCCTTTGTCATTTGTAACTGCAGATGCTAACCTTACTCACATGACGGACTGATCTTCTTTGGATTCTGCGCCTGTTTGCTGTTCCAGAAAGATGACCTTGGGCTGCTGTGAGAGACAAAATATTTACACATTCATTTCTTCAGGCCTACAGAGTTGGCTGCAGGAAGACACACGCTCAGTCTCCATTGGGGGAAAAAAAAAAAAAAAAAAAACGCTGTATGACTTCAGTGGATCTGGAGCTAAGAAATCAAGCTGGGTTTCAGCTCAGGCCTGATGCCACTGAAATCAGCCGTGCTCCTCTCTGGGGCAGAGACAGAGCAAACTCACAACTGCACAGCAGCTCAAACTCACCAAGAGCCTGCCCAGCCATTGCTTGTTGCTTTCATTTCTTGCACAATAGCTTGTTAAATCTGTAGTAGCTTCCAAATAAACACCCAAATCAGCTCTTTTGAATTATCCTGTAAGTCCTTCTAAGCTTTAAGATGTCTCAGCTTCTGGCTGCTTTTATCACTAAAGATCAGCCTGAAGACAGCATCACTTTCTGGGGTAGGAGGAAGGGCTTGCTGGGTAGTGCATGCTGAAAGGAAAAACCTGCCTCATTCAAAGTGTGAGCTCTTCTACAAACCCCAACTTCTTTTTTTTTCCCCTCAAACCGTAGTTGCAAATATCACACTTAGCAAATTGGAAAGGGAATGCTCTTGCATATTAATTCCTGTTAATTCCTTTAGGCTCTATAGTCCTTTTATAGAACATGGGGCTTATGAAAAAGGGGAAAATACACAGCCGGATGTTTCCTCTATTATAACTCTGTCCACGCTGAGTTGAACGGGTGTCACTGTTTTGTAAACAGTCAGGTCTCACAGCCCACCAACAACATTCAAACTCTACAAGCAGACTAGAAAGCAGGACGGCAAGGTCTTAAAAATGAATATTAGACCTTTAAAAATGACTCCACAAGGAGCCAGCTACCCTGGAGCACTGGGATAATGCAATATGGAGGGCCTTTGCTCAGCCTTTCTGTCCACCTTTTGTGCCGAAGGGCAGGAGGCAGCTGAGAGGCAGAGGGATGAAGCGCAGCAATCATACAGATTAAAGATGATGATAAATATGGGAGTGGAAAGAAAACTCTGCAGGCATGCGAGCTCCAAGGTCATCACCGGCTTTAAACAAAGGAGAAAACGAACTGCCACCAGAGGAAACGCCTGCTCCTCTAGCAAGCCAACACCTTAGGCTTTAGGCTGGAGAAGTGATCAATAGCAGCTGGCAGCATTTGGTTCTTCGAGTTCAAGAACATCTGAAAACATTTCCGACTGAAGATCCGTCGATTATGTAAAGCACCAAGTTACTTCTCAGGAGCAGCAGCTCCTGAAAATACCTCCAAGCACTGTGCGCCCACCCTTGGGACCACACCAGCCCGGTGAGGGAAACACGGGCACTCGACAGGGGTGAAGCAGGCCACAGCAGGATCCACATAATTAAAGACGCTAGTAAAAAGGAAACCCAAACAAATCAAATCACGCATCAGACAGCCCAGAGGAAGCCTTTTCAAATGGACAGTTCAGTTAGCTACAGCTGTAGCTCAGTGGGCTAAAAGAGGTACTCGTTTCTGTGGGCATCAGTTGAAAGTCAGCATCATTACAGAGAAAATAAACATCATGAGATCATTCTGTTCTGTTGTCAATACACATTAAAAACAAAAAGTAAAATAACAGCAGAGTACTTAGCAGGACAGGGGGCTGTGGGCTGGAGAGAGACCAAGGAAGGAACAGACTGCAACTAGCTAAAATATGCTTTTCAAGATACAGAGATCTTTCCAGAGCACTTGCCCACAATATTCTGGCTGAGAAGACTGTGCCAGTGCAATTAGTTTCTTCCCACATAATGGTTTTGTGAGTTTGGGGGTTTTTCTTTTCCCCCCAAGAGAGGAAAATTCAAATAAGCCAAAAGGGGATCCCAAGCAGGGGTGTGAAAGGGGGATGAATTATCTTTGAAAACATGAGTGCATTAAGAAATCTGCACTTGGGCCTGCCCAAGCACTCCTAGCCTTTGCCTTCTGGCTCACGAAGCATCCCTGGGCTCTGCCCATGGCTCTTCCCTCACCTGGAGCACCGCCGAAGCGGGGATCGGGCATCGGTGTCCCCTTGGACGGAGGCCAGCACAGCACAGGGACCTGCACCTACTGACTGCTCAAGAGCTAAGGGCTCAGTAGGAGTCACGATTCGAAGGAATAGTTCTGGAAATCAGTCTTCTCAGCCACCCTTAAAGGAAACAAAGGGTTAAAGCAGCGACTGAAAGGGCAGTGGTATTTACATAACAAAGACCATGAGCACAAGCCCAGCCTGAATCAATATTAGCAATGACTAATTCAATACATCAATGGGAAGAATTATGGGAACTCTGGAATACGGGAGAGCTGCTGGAAAACCATCTTCGTTTCACAAATAGTCCAAGCTATAAAGAAAAATAAATCACAAAAGCAACAAAAATCCCAAAATACAGCCAGCAGGCACAAGCATCCCAGTACTGTGTTCATGCCAGTACTCCTCAATTCCTCTGTGCTTCAGCAGTAACTTAATGAACCTCACAAACACGCAGCTCAAGGCTCAGATGAGCTAACAGGTTTAACAGCAGCTCTGAAAGACCAACACTCCCCTTGCCTCATCCCCTTTCCCTTCAAATTTCTCTCATAAAACATCAGGCCAAAATGTTGTTGCAATGATACAGTAACCTGCTTCCATCTGGGAGCAAAGTTTTAACATGTGCTCAGATACTAACTTAGTCTAAATGAGCTATTTTCTCTTGCTTTCCTTTGACTTTCTATATTCTACACTGAAAATATATTTTAAAATTCAATTTCCTTTATGCTACATCTTCAGAACAGGTATTGATATGGAAATGGTATGGAAGTTAAAAAACAGTTTACTTCATTGCTTTTTAAAATGATTTTTTAAACCACACTATTATAAAGTTGGGTTATCTCCAGCTCACTTCTGAAACCCCTTATCATCTTATATTTCTCCCTTAGTTAATCACTAAATTATTAAGCACAAGCAACACTTTGCAGATGCAAGAAGTTATGAAGAGAATCTCAGTTAGTTTATTATACATAGACATCTTATATACTTGTTCATACATTCTGTGAGGTTTGAGGAAAAAGGATGCAGAGATTCAAAAACACAACTGAAATCCACAAACGAACCTTTTTAATGTGGTAATTTCCTGTGTTCCCACCCCCCCCAGAAGAAAAGTACAGGATAAAGAAATACATAAATGGACCTCTTCTGCTAGTTGTGCCCTAAGTGCTCATTTTCTCTCCTGTTGATAATTCAGCAGCTTTAACAGTGCAGTCAGAAATGTATTTGTTCGCTCAATTATATTTGGGTTGGATCCTGCTTTGTAGTGCAAAGCTCCAGTAGTGCAAAGCAGGTATTTTGCCAGCTTATTCAGGCAGTGGAGGACAACCCTTTTGCATAGGATGCCACCAGTCTCATTGCAATAAAAGATGCTGGATTCAGACAGGTTAGTGAAAAGAATATATAAAACCATGATCTTTAGGACAGTTCATCTCACCCGTTCCACGGGTCTTTCTACATGCAGACAGTTCTCACTTGCTGGACTGCCCTGTTTGAAGACAGACACAGCCTGTGCATCACACCACGTTGTCCCTGCTGCCCACCAGGCGCTGGCTCGCTTTGGTGCAATGCGAACCAGCGCTGAGGCTTATTTCTGGTCAAACATCCAGGGCTAAAATTTGCATTAGTTAGGTTTGCACAGCACTGTAGAAGGGAACGAGGCTGTTGTGGTACAGTGAGAAGTAGAATTGGTTTCAGTTGACAACAACAAAAAAACCCAAGAAATAGTCCAGTATTGAGTGAGTTTTTCAGCAAGATATTTCTTGTGCCTCAGTATCACTGGCATGAAGAAATGCCAGTCTACTCCTAGAGAACATGGGGAACGGGAAACTGGGCAACTAACAGTATTTGAAGCTCTTGGCACCTTACTGCCTACATACAATCACTGCACTAGAGGATTCATGTCCTCTGCTGTCACGTGCAGCTTCACAACAGCTAACAACTGCTAAACTTTCAACAGTCAAGCAGCAGACTTCTCCCCGTCTCTTGACTCCATGACTTCAGCTCACACAGGCAGGAAAAAAGATTAAAATGGAAAAAGGCAACATAGTCTGAAAAGTAACTATATAAATATGTCATCACCTCATCCAGCAAGCCTGCTCCTTGCCCTGTGTCCAGCTAAAGGCAGGAAGAGGACTATTCTTCTCTCATGCTAGCCCAATTGAGCCAGCCCCTCTAGGAGATGGTCCCCTGGATCCTACTTCTTGCCTGTAGCAGAGCTTTCCCCAAAACTATGGTGACACATTGTGGCCCTATTTTGTGCGCAGTGCCAAAAATACTCCCTTTTCAGATCCCCAGAAGATTTTTACAGGATAGGACATTTGAAGAAAAGCCCTAGGCAAACTGAGTTGTGCTTAACTGAATCACTGAGAAACAATATTTAAAACCTCTCTGCGTCATACTCGCAGAAATGCTTCTCCCAATGAACTTAACTTTTACTAAACAAGATATCGCATGGTCAGGACAATGATGCAGAAAAGAGTGATTTAGGCACAAAGGTGGATATGCAGCTTGTTCTGCTCTCTCTTTTTTTTTTTTTCTTTTTTCTTTTTTTTTGGTACTCATGGTGACAGAAGCCACAAACTTCAAGGCGGCAACTAAACATGCATTATATAACCACAATACAAAACTGATGCTAGCTATCTCTCATGCAAACCTATGGCAATACAGACTAACAAGTGCACAGCATACCTAATTAAAAATACTTGTAGTGTTTAGTCCTAATGAATAATATTAGTTGCTACTATAGGAGAACAACAGTTATGTCTAGGCACTTAAAAGTTGACAGAGAATTCTGTAGTGCTTTCCCATGCTGCCCGAAAAATATATCATCCAGTCTGCAGTGGTATCAAACGTTTATTTCTAGGACTTAGAAACACAATAGTAAAGGAGAGGAAGTGTAAGCTGCATACAGGCTAGACTAATAAGCTATCTGTGCATCAAGAATATTTGCAATCATCATTAACGTGAATATGAGCAAAGAGGGAAGAGAATTTACTTCAGAAGAAAACCGCATCAAAATCAGTCTGTGATGACTGAGCCTATGACAAAACAAGCGAGACAATGACCAGAGAGAGGATTTTGTATATTTTTCCATTGCTTTTCCCAATGGTTAGTTATTTGGATGTGGTAAATGCAGGAAAAACAAGAACTAAACATGCCTCCCAGGCATCACCACCTCTAACCACGACAGCTGAGGCTGAAAAGTCATGTTAAAGCATACATGACCTGTCGGAGCTCAGCCCTTGCCACGGGGTAACTGTTTCCAGCTGCCTGAGAAGGAGGGAAGAGCAGCCCACAGTCCCAGGACCCGTGGGGTACCCTCGTAACTATTAGGATTCCAGCAGCGTATGCCACCTGCAGACCTGCATCCCCTTCGTTTCCTTCATTTCCTGCCAATGATTTTGTTCTTCTTCCCCGCTGCTGTTCTGACCCATAGAAATCCAGCCAATCATCTCTTTGCGTTTCATGCTGCGTCTGTTGTATATGGAAATCATGAGCGTGACATCGGACAGCTGGAACAGGGCAACCTGGAATATGAAAGTTTCCTTGTATACAGGGTTGGGCTGTCCTCGACGGATGGAGGTCTTGCAACGAGACATCTCCTGGCCCACTGAGTTGAGCAGACAGAGCTTTCCATAGGTGTCTAGGACAAAACAGAGGAAGAAAAATTCCTGGCATAGATGACAGACTAAACGAAAGCACCAAGCAGCCAAAAAACACCCAAAAAACTCCAAGCAGAACAGCTTTGTCTGCATAAGCACTAAACGATGGATGAGAACAGAATTGGACTGCTCTCCTTGGTAAAATCCATGGAATGAGGAGCAGCAGGTAAAACACCTCTTGGATTTCCTCATATTTAGCTAGGGAGAAGAAAGGAAGGAAACTGAGATGCATGGTTTGCCCCTACTCTCTTGTAAAAAAGCCGGATATCTGGCTCCCAAACCTAGCAAATCTGTCAAAGACTAGTCAAAAATCTGAGTATCTCTATAGATTCTCCGCATCAAATGGCATATCTGCACCTTCTTCTGCTCTTCCTCACAACATAGCTTCATGGGAGCTGTCTTACCAGGGCCTCCCTTGGCTGTGCTTACCTTTCAGTACTTTCCTTTGGAAGGAAGCCTTTATGACCTATTATTTAGAACAGCAAACAAAAAGGGGCCTGGAAAAGACAGAGGGGAAATCTGCATATACAGTGAAATGATTTGATCTCATACTAAGGTTTCAGGGCCTGTTCCAAATTCTCATCTTACTTTTTTGTTGGACTCAAGGTCAACTCTATTCACAATTCAAGCCAATACAAGGAGTAACAATGATTAGGTGATACAAGGAAGTGATGGTCCATTCCAGACTTCCAGTAAATCCAGCCTTGAAACTCTTGCTCCATCCTGTATTAACTACCTCACCTTCACCACTAATAGAGCATTCGTAGGCAAAGCCTTGTGCTACCACTGCTCCACAGACTCAGCTCAGCGTAAGTTTTCAGCTTCACTCTGTGCGCAGTGGTAGCAGATCACTTGGTTAGAAAAGTCTCACTCTAACCCTTAGTAAATCTGCATCCGAGTTTCTGAGAGTGATTACTATTTCAGAGTGTGCTGAAGACAGGAAACAAATAACAAGCCACCGTCTCTTGTCTACAGCACGTCTATCCTTTTCTGTTCCTGATTGATGTGCTATTTTACGCACTTATCTGCTGAGCAACACAAGGTGTGAAATTACACTTCAGGTGTGAAAACACTTCTGCGTCTCAAAAGCAAGGCTCTCCGCTCCTCAAACTGTTCTACTGAAAAAGCTGTCAGGAGACTGACAATCGAGGAGCAAATTGTGAGTCTGCACAGCTGTACAGCTATCGAGTTACTGCAGAGAAAGCTCAGTCCAATCATTAGCTAGTGGTGCCAATTTGGCACCCGGCACCCAGCGTAACATTAGAGATGAAGTAAATCTTGCCAACAAAGACCTACTCGTTAGACAGAAAAGCAGAGCAATTTCAGGCTTCGCTCTGATATGAAATAGTTTGCTGATTGTAGCTGGGAAGGAAAGAACCACTTCAAACCCAGACAAAGCAGAGTTCAGGCTCTAGGTACTTTACCAAGAGGTGGACCTAGTTCCCACAGTAATATTCACTTTTGGTAACACTGAGAGAGATTGAATTCTACTACAACTTCAGACTCATCAGAAACAAAAAACACAACAGAAGACTCTCCTAGCAACTGAATGTGAAACCAAGCAAGATAACTAACAGATGCAATTTCCTACAATACTTGCAGAGATGGCACTTGGCAATGACACACCATAACATGCATTAGAAGTATTTCTCATGCGGCGGTTTTGGTTAGAGGCTGCTGAGAACTCCCTGGAATTAAAATTAAGCGAGGACAGGGGTTTTATGGATTTTTTTTTTAATGTATTCAGCCTTTTTTGTGAGGAGGGGATTTCAAAATACTGAAGAATTTCAGCGAGACTGATTTTGAAACACAATCAATTGGCTAAATTAGGCCAATTCCCTGTTTAAATTTCACAGCTTGTTTCTTTCAAATTGAAATCTCACATTTTCTACACACTTTGGATACATTTTCCAAACCATTTGTAGGCAGAAAGCTGAAAGGGTTCGTTTCTGCAGTCACACAGGAGAGGCGAGTTCTGGGACACAGGAATTCATGGAAAGGAGAACCCTTCTGTTTGCTCCTGGCCCAATACCTCATCCATTCTCTAGGTACGTCCTTGGTCTCTTTTCCCTTTCCCCACTGCTGTCTGAAAATTGTTTTGCTGAGGGTGAGGTCTGAATGGGTATTTGGTTGGGATCAGAGAAGGAAAAGGGGCTAGGAAGAGTTAATAAGGGCAGAGCTGGGTATGGAGCAGCAGTGGTAAGGCTCTGCCCTAGGCAGGAAGGGGCAGAGGGAAGTCACGGGTACCAGAAGCCCCTGAACTCCTCTGCAGCTCCCAAGAGGGCATCCCCAGCTTTGCTGGGGCAGCAGACAGACAGAGCGGAGAACCAGCACACAGCCAGGAACTGCTAGCATATGCTCTCACTGACATACCATCTGAGCACAGGAACTGGCAACCTGACTAACAGCAGATGAAGTACTACTATAGCTCATCTTCCCATCCCACTTGAGGGAACGGTCACCCATGCACGCCTCTATCTGTTTTTCTGAGAAGATGTGGAGAGCACTGAAGTCTAAACTTTCCTCTCAGTAAACCCTGCTATCATCCATCCCTCTTACTGCTGCCAGCACTGAGAGCTCCGGTGGGATTCATCACACCTAACCACAGGCAGCACACATTTGAGCAGTCCCCCTGTAGAGTGAACCAAAACATAGCCAATACCACTAATGAAGCATATGGAATAATTCAGCAGTGATCTAGTAACTCAGGCTATTATTTTAGATGCTTTAGGTTTTAACATTAAAGCAAGTACCACAGCTCAAATCTTAGAGGATACTGTTTTGAGGATGGCCTCATCAGTTTTCCAGGTGATGAACAGATTGGTTTCTTGCAGTTATAAAGTCTAGAATGTCACATCCCTGACTGAGGCTTCAACTTTTGCAAGTGAGGAGTAACACAGCTAGCTTTAAAGAAATCCAAGGATTGCATAGATCATGATTTAAACCAATAGAGATCATAATCAGAAAATATGTTTTTTTCTTTAATATACATCAGAATCTGCTAAGTAATTCTGTGTCAAGACCCTGTTTGCAAAGCACCAAGGTCAGCGGGGGTTCTGCAACTATCATCTGGATAAGGTGAGAACATGCATACCGGAAGGAGACTAAGCTCAACGCAGAGCCAGTACCAGGAGCCTCGGTCATCCCCATGTAAACATAGACACAAAAGCGGTGCAGGTTGCAACAGAATCAGGCTGCTATTCTTCTTAAATATATTCCACTGGGTGCATTTTACCAGCCAAAAGAATCAAGCTTGCCTGAACAAAAATAAAAGAGTAGGTGTGGGTAATATATTTAGCAGCTGAAATTTACTTTGCAGAGCTGGTGCATATGAGGCAGAGCTGTTATTCTGTTTCACTAACTAAATTTTAAGATTGTGTCTCACCCATTGTGCTCCTACAGCATCTTTCTAGGTGTCTCATTGGAAAATGCTTCCTAGCTCACCTTGTGGTCCACCCTGGTCCTTCAAGACAGAAAAGTTCTCCTCTTTGGCTGACTTTGCCAAACAAAACCCGTCCTTGGATACACGGTGAGATTAGTGGAACTACGACAGGGACGAACTTGCCTATCTGCTGAGGAACGCATGTGTGAGAGCATCTACTCGTTATGAAGGCAAGCATTTTCCATTTAATTACATGTTCAGATTCAGTAATTGCCTCATTACTGTGGTATCTCAGCACTTTACACTCTTCAGTGTATTTACTTTCATGCTACCTCTGTCAAGTACAAAAGAAAAAGTGAGACCTATAAGGCTTATATTCTTTAAAACGTGGAAGTGCTCACCTTCCAGATAGGCACCTATCTGGCTGACATGAAAAACAGCCTCTAAATATCTGAAAATGTCTGAGAATATGAAACTTGTCCACGGTTACACAAAAGGCTGCAAAGCAGCAGGAACAAAGTCTAATTTTGCCAAGACCAATTTTAGCACCACTTCCTCCGAGTTCTTCCTTTTCAGATAGACTTTGGAACAGAAGTTCTTGTTACAGAACATTTTTGCTTTAAACTCATCTTTCATCTCTGGGACAAGTGGCCAGATGAAAGTTCATGTACACATAAAATATCAACACCTCCGCCATTTAATACCAGAGTGAAAAGTACTAAATCAAGGAACGCTGCAAGAAGCCAGACACATTTTGGGCTGGTGCTGCACAATCTTACTACAGAGGTTTGGCCAAACATCTTCTCATGCAGACTGCTTCGTCTCCATCAGCACTGCTCCAACCATAAAACATTTCTTCAGAGCTCATCTGCAGAGGCAATCAGTTTATCTGCGATTCTTCTAATGACCCATTTCGGTCTTTATCTATCTAAGCGAACTAACTCATAATGGCCACTCAGGGGAATAATCAACTATAATTTATGTGTTCCTGTTTTTGGAGCAAGGAGCATAGCGTGAGTTCTGCTTTCATTTACCCTGAGCTCCACAGTTATCAATAAAGCTGACCTGTGAATAAAAACACTGCAATACTAAACTGTCCAACCCCACGCTTGATTTTATATTTAGAAAGGAAATAAACAACCAAAGACTCTTGACCTCTTGGTCTGTGGACTGCAGAGTATAACGCAGTGCTGTATGGACTTCCCTGTTTTCCCTCTGGGCAAGCTAGCTCATTTCCAAAAGCAGTATAACCATGTCAGCTTGCTGCAATCCAGACTAATAAGACCTGCAATAAAACATAGCCTTGGGCCTACAACTTAATCTCACCCAGCTGGCAGGCCCATGCTCCTAGCCTACATAATAAGCAGCAGCATGGCTTGGCAAACCAGGCCCAGATCCAGACTCTGTGGTTTTTTTTGCAGCACAATTCAATGCAAGGTAGAGAGATACCTTAACTACTCTGACTGACCTGAGTCCCAGAAGACTGTTGCTACATTAATGCATGGCTTTACTTGCCCAGTTAAACCTGCAGTGGGGCAAAAATACTTTGAACCTGGTTTTTTTTTTAAAATTAGACTCAAACTTTTGTTTTCAATCCCA